GATGTAAAGCCACAGGAAGATGTCACACAAAAGCTGTGTCAGGCTGGGAAACCTCAGGGAGGAGGGGGAACTGTAGTGTATCAAGAACATTCAGGAAGACAGAAGTGTCAGGAAAACCTGCAAATGATAAACTAACTTCCCTCCAACTAGGTATCCAGTGCAACGGCCAGCAAAACATTGCAGGTACATACCTAAAAACCAATGCACTATAAATAACATGTGCTGTATTTTTTTTTAAATGGGGCTTGAAAAATTATTCTTCAGCACTCTACCCTCTTGTGTGACCCTGCTGAGTTGGTTGTTTGTGCTGGTTATGGTGGCATCTGTTGCTGGGAAATGAATTGCTTCCACCCGTCAGTGGTTTCAAACAACTCTATTTTTGCCGTACACAGTGAAGAGGAGCAAAGAAAGAGGGTTCTAGTCCTTAAGCAGCAGTATGGGAAGCCAAAGTGTCTATTATAAGATACTCAAAGTTCTAAAAATGGTCTAAGTTTCAGGCTTTTTGACGTTTCTAATATCTAATATTCTATCAATAAATTATGAGGACTTGGAAAAATCCTTAGATCTCACTGGGAGTTTCCTAGACAGAAAGTTTTCAATACTGGTTTGGAGTCACTAAAACATCATAAGAAAAAGTCCAAATTTTAAAAGGTGTTACCCAATAAAACCAATAACTAAACATTTTCTCTGTCTTATTTATTTGTGGCAGTATTGCTTGGGAAAGCAGAGGTGGAGGATAAACTTCATCTAAGCAGTTCGTTTTCTGGGAACTGAAACATTCTCAATCTTTACAGAGCAAAAATCTTTACAGCAACTGCAAAATTAACAGTAGCAGGAATTCTAGGGCTCTTGCAATGAAACACATGCAAAATTTCCTAAGAATTGTGTCTTTCACTGTGTATGGTCCTTTGGCTGAACACAGGTTTGGCAGTACATGAAAAGTTTACTCCTATGATCATAACAATCACTGCCTTCGAGGGATTACAAGGTGGTAGGTGCCTCCAGCTTCTCAGGGCTTTAAATTACTAGAGAATTCAGAACTTCTGAAATTGATGCTGAGGATCAGATATTGCAATCATGCCTCAGTGGAGGAGTTGCAAAGGGAAAAAAAGACTCACTGCAGGGAGTGCTGTCATGCTGCAGCACAGATATTCTAGCAAAAGATCAGATGTGGCATTAACAGCCCTGTTCTGACTCTTTGCTACAGAATACAGCGCTCTAATTTGTTCCTGTTGAAGAGTTAAAATGTGCGGTGTAGAGCGCAATTATAAGGATGTCTCTTTTGTCAGAAAGGCTCTCACGCAGCTTAGATCAACAATTAGTGTGAATCCAAACTCGCACTGCATTATTTACTATCATATCCTGCTATACCTTCCTAGGAGGCAGTCTTAATTCTCAGTCTCGGGGCTGGATAATTCGCTGAGCTCTTGGTGACACCCTTACCCTGAATGTGAGCGAGCTGCAAGCTGGGTGTAGTGTTCTGATAGCAGCGGGAGCCTGTCCCCGGCTCCCTGTCATACGGCAGGTGCAAGTTCAGCTTGTGATGGAGAAGAGGCAGAGAAGCCCATGGGAAAGATGGTAGCCAAGACCAAGTTGACAGAATAATTCCTTCATCCCATGCGTACTCCCTGCCGAGGAAGAGATGCAGCCTGCCTGCATTAATTGCGCTGCTGGCAGGAAGCGCACACAGGCATTGACGATGGAGGTGATAAGGAGGACTGCAGGGTATGACCCGCCCTGAGACTGGGAGCAGCAATGTGGCCCTTCTCACCAAAAGCTCGATGTTCTTCCTTTGTGGTACGGATTTCACACTGACACAAACTATAGAGGAAATCAAAAACTTGCTTTCTTTGCTAGCATCTGATTTGCTTTTTTCTCCACTCTCAATAGTTAGCTCCATTGTAGCTAATAGCTAAAACCTCCCATTTCTGGAAAAAGGGGAAATGAGAAAATTACAGGGCAGATGCAGAAGATAGTATGAAAAGAAAACACCAGACTTTTTCCTCTCAAGTAATGCATGTGTATTTAAATGCACTTACGGTGAACATGTAATATGCCAAACCACCACCCTCAAGTCAAGTAAAAATTAATAAATGGTATTAGAGACTTTCTTCTGCAATATTTGCCATTTCAGGTGCAGTAGCTACCAGTGAACTTTGTTTGAACGCTTTACTCACTGTTTTTTCACTATAAAACTATTACCATTAATAACCATCCCAGTGATTTCAACTGGAACACAATATAGACTGAACATTCCTTTGGTTTAACAACTGCATATATATAAATGCAGTCACTTGGGTTTATTTACTCTGTATGTCTAGCTGAATAAAGTTGTGCATCAAGGGGAGTAAAGGGCCTGATTCTTCATCTCTGTAACCTGTTCACATCATTTCACTGCTGCAAAGCACTCACAGATTTCAATACAAGGCTGACTGGAAATGATCCATGTCATGTAACATACCGGTTTCCATCTAAAGGGCCAGCAGCCGTGGGATGACTCCCCCCAGCCTGCTGGTGTCCCCGGCAGTGGTGCCATGGGAGGAGCCGTGCGGTCGGGCCCCGACATACCTCCACATTGGGAGAGAGGGAGAGGCAGAATCACACCTCCTGTGCCTCGTTACTCAGCGACCTGCACCAAATACAGCTCAGCTGAATTCAAGAGCTACCGTCAATATGTAACTCCACTTCTCACAAAAACACTTGTACTAAGAATAGTTTTCCCATCGTGTGTGCGTGTTTCACAGAGTGTTAATAGATCCCGCTTTGTGGCCCTACATAACGAGCTCTTTTCCAGATGAATTTAGATGTGCCGTTCTCACTCTCTTTAGCAGAAAGGGCATAAAGTAGTGCACTATCAAGGCCAGTCACCATACACAGGGATACCTGGTATTACGAAAATCAAGCTGTTTACAGAAGATCACACCAACCCAGAAACTCTGTATGGAAATAGAAAGCGAGCTTTTCAAACAGAACCTGAAGACAACTTTGCAAGGTTAATACAGAGCCCTTTAGGCTAGCAGGCATCTGTTTTCATTATTGTCTGCCCAGGAAGCATTTATCACTATGAATTCATTGAAAATTTTGAAATACGGTAAAATGAGAAGAGCAGACTTGCAGGAAAACCTCTTCCCTTGCTACAATCTGTTCAGGAGAGAAACGAAAGGATATTTGTGTGTGTGTGTAGGAGAGAGAGCGGTGTGAGGCGGGGGAGTATATCCAGAAAAAATACAAATACCATTTCACAGTGGAAGTGTGAGTGCAAGAACACAGTATCTGTATTTAATCTAATATTTGTGCAGGTTCCATCAGTGTATAAAGGAAAACGAATCCTGCAATTTGAGAGAGCTACAATGACTTGCAGAAATGTAAACAAGCTGCTATTGAAACTTTGGGGAAAATTATTTGAAAATTGATTGCCTTTCTGACATTTACGACAAAGGGAGAGAAGGTCTCTTTCATTATCCTAACTGAAAATGCACTTTTTGTTACTTTTAGAACTATAACAGCATTGTTCTATTATGAGGATATTTTTATTTAGTTTTTAATACCTCATGATTCTATAATTTTGGAAAATACATGTTAATCCCAGCAGAAGTAGAAATCATTAAGTTTGCAAACACCATCTGAGCGTGGGGCTTGGTTAGCAGCAGGTGCTGTCTCCAGCGTGGTGCCCAGCACTTTTCCACACCACAGGTTCCATAGGATATGAAAGCAGAGAGCTGCAGTCCTCACATGTGCCCCAGGACTGATATGGGGAAACACAAAAGATCTGTTTCTGGTTGCCATTCTGTAAATGCAACTACTTCAGCATTGTCTTAGCCTTGCCAGAAGTTAGAAAGGTTCCCAACTTGACTGTGCAACCTTTCTTACAGCAAATATCATTTATCCCCAAGACATTCCTTCACTCCAGTTTGCTTAATTGCAGAATGAGGTCCATGCCATCTCAGAGTGAGACAGAGCTTCAAGATAGATGTTGAAAGAAGTCTAGCAGATGTTTGATGGAGAAACAGACAGATTTCTGCAGTAAAATGCATGCCATCAAAACTCAGTAAAATTTACAAAAGACAAACTGTATTTAACTGAGAGGATGCAAATATCCAGTATTTAAATACTGATCTGTAATTTGTGACTCCAGCCCAAGAAACTAGCAATAGTGCTGTTAGCAGTGCCGTTTAATCTGAAGAAAATGGCATTTCAGAAAAGATTTCACGTCCATATACTTGTGCTACACACCTTTCAGGGCAGACCTGACAACAAGCTACATGTTGGGACTGCATCGTGCGACATGAGATCCTGCATTGCTAATCCAGCAGAGGAGTTTTACTCCTCTCAGCAGCCCCACCTCTTTTGGTAGATCTCACCTGCTTCTGGAATGGTTTCCTTGCATTAATTCAGTTTACGAATTGAAATGAAAGCAGGGGGGGGCCGAAATCAATGAGAGGCTTAGTCAATACGACCAACCTAATGCATTAGATTGTTTCAGTCAATTACATTTCTTTTCCACAGCTTAATTTAGATAACCGTCAGGTAAAAGAGGAAAAAAATAGCTATATACAGTTAATGCAACAGAAGGTATCAAATGATTTAAGCAGCTGGCCAAAGCAGTTAGCAATGCATCTATCCCTTGGTTAAATTATTCTCCTAGATCTGCATAATACATGCATGACTGATATTTTTATCTAGAGCATTAAACCTAATGGCTGGTTAGCTGAAATACAAAACTGTTCTGAACAAATTCACGAAGTTCAGAGAGCTGGTGTAGGTCCCAGAAATACCCATCTGTCAATATATTTTAGTGGTCCCTGCAGCCTCGTACTGAAAAATCTAGACTGCATTTATGAAGGGCTGGGTACATATTGGCAATTGCTTGGGTTTAACTATGTATTGATATAATATTCTGAAAATTAGGAGAAAATTATTTTCAGAGTCTTAGATGTAATAGCTCAGCTAACTACAGCAAACAGCTAACTATACTTTTTTTGTGTTTTCTTTCTCTACAGGTATACCCAGTATTTCCAGTATTGGTAGTAAGTAATAAAACCAGTATTGTTTTGCATTGTCATTCAGCTTCTTGGATCTAGTTTCCCAACATCCCTTTCTGTTGTAGATAATGTTTCTCTGAAAATGTGCCCTATAGTGCAGGAGTTATGTATTGGCCTTCCTCTGTTGCATTAACGTGTAACTGTATTACGTGGTCAGAGAGAACGTCACTCCTGATGACACATCTGCCTTCAACTGCAGATTTGCTGATGACTTCTGATCAGCAGATGAAAACCAAGTGCTATAAAACTGAGTGTTATATACAGAATTAAGACACCGTTCCAAAGAAAATATTTGTTGAGCATCTTTTTAAAAAAAAAAAAAGTATTTGCTAATGACAGAGAAGTATAGGACCATTAAATTTTCGTGTGGGGGTGTGTGTGTGTAAACTTGAAGAGCAAGTGGAAGAGTTTATAAATGGAAGAGTGTTCATTTTTATGAAGTAGCTTAGCAAATGTAGCGTACTTGCTGGAATCTTTGCATTAACTCCAGCAGCCTTTAAACTGGGCTTTACTTCACAAAGTAAAGAGAATTGTGTTCCTTCACAAAAACTTGCTTTCCTCCATGCAATTAAAGCACCAAAATGTTACATTTGAACTTTAACAAAACCATAACACTTCTGTAAGGGACCCATGTATCAATGAAATAGATGATTAATTAAATAAAACACTTGAAGGGACTAAGTACGCAGTAACTCAGCTGTGCGTCTAGCTGAGTTCCATAGCTAAGAAGTGCACACAGTCGTGACACGTTAGCTGATTACAAATAAAGCAGGCAGGTAGAAATGGCATCCTGCTGTGGCTGACAGAGAATATTCCCCGCAGCCTTGGCTTTGCCGAGGCTTTAGACACAACTTCTGTGATGCAGGACTATCACAATGATAAAATATCACAGCAGTAAAATGCAATTTGCCATACCTGATATCCAACTGAAAAAAACCAAACCTACCTTGCTTCTTATGATGCAGGGTCAGGCCTGTCAATTTATAAATCAGCTCAGTTTACTTAAGTTCATGAATAGCGCTGATTTGTTAAGCTCTAGACAGCAAGTTAAATGCCATCACAACTAGCATCCTTGCAAATGAGAGCGGCGTTAACAGCTGAATGCCATGGAATCTGTTTTGCAGCGCTAAATACTGAAACAGCATCCATGACAATAACGTGCAAATGAAAGCCTTCAATCTTAATAATGTAATTTTCCCGCTGTACTATCTCCTTTGGCATTTGCATGACTGCAAATGCATAGTGATATGCTGTTTTCAAAACCTTGTGTTTATACATGTATTTTATAACCAAAAAACTGAACTAAATGAAAGAGAAGTTTCTTTCAGTGTTCTCAGGAATATTCCTGCCATTAATAACAGAAATGGGATGAATGGGAAAATAGCTCTTTGGAGTTTGGTTGTGCTATAGTTTCTTAGTACTGTGTTGCATGGACTATATGGTTGTGTTTTCACTTCACACTCCATACAGCCTTCGTCACCACATCTACCATTTCTGAGCATCAGCAGATGTTGGCCTTTGAAAACTTAATAGGGAAACTCAAATACCTTTTAAACAATGGTGACCTGAAAGGATGCATTGTTGACCTCTTTGTATTTTACACTGGGGTGATTAGTACAGTTTATCTATTACAAATGGAGAAAATTCTGTTTAACATTCCATAGGAAATACAAGAGTTTCTGCAAGTCTATGCTTTATCTTTAATCTGCTATAAATGCCTTGGAATAATATGTGGTAGAATTGAACAAATTTCTTTGCCTACCTGGGAAAGGATGAAGCATGAGCATCTCTTCATAAGCACAAGTAAATACTGATACTCTGCTTGGTTTTTTCGTGTGTTTTTTTCTTAAATAGCTCAGGGGGAAAATAGTTCTACTTGCACAATGTTCTGAACATCTTTCCTGTAAAACAGAAATAGCAGAATTATCGTTAAACAAGGATAGAACCCATAAATTTATCCTGGTCTCTAAGAGAATTTAACAGAAGTACAATTAACACATAAAAACAAATAAGATTAATTAGTTGTGGCTGCTTTAATGGATTCTGCATGATTTCTTCTTTTGTCTATGCTAATACACTGTTTGTGTTCATATCAGCAGAGTTTTTCCCCATCTGGGAACAGGAAGTTACTCTCAGGAGATAGAGTTTGGGTTTTATTTTGCCTGGCAGCAAACGCTAACGGGGGAGGGTATTGGCTTTTGTGTGCTTCAAGATTTTCCTAGTACATAAGGAGGATGGGGTTGGGATGGGGAGTTACGAAGACTAAACTGACAGCATACAAAGAAGATGCCACTGCAAGCATTGTTCATTTAACACTTGTAAGACTGCAATGAAAGCAAGAAAAGAAAAATAAAATATATTTACCTGTGTGCACATATATGTATCATTCTCTATTCCTTTTCTACATCAAAGGATCTTGTATTAAAGCAGCTCATTGTTAAAGTTTGAACACAAAGAAAGAGTGGTCATTAAGTAAACATCCTTTCTGATCATCTAGAAGAAAAAAAATATATCAGAGCTTTCCCATTAAGGTCATTTGTACCTGCTGTTGTCTATCAGTCAAATAATAGGTTCTCTGGTCATGTCCAGCATTCTTGATTCCAATGCTGGCCCTTTCAGCATTTTTCAGCCACGTCTGGAAAAATACTGGTGAAAGCGTTAGCAATTAATGAGTCCCAAAACCATTGCATAATTTTAAGCAATGCTTAAAGACAGTATGTAATTATTCTGAAAACTACATTATTTTACTTCCTAAAATAATGATTGTACAATTTTACATAGACCAATGCATCAAAACGTTCATTATTGTAACCAAATACCAAGGTTACTAATCTGTACATGTATGCCTTCAAAAAGTTGAATCTTCTAAACTATAGCTTCTATCTTTATTCCTGTAAAGCCTAACTCCACTAATTATGCTAAACAGTTTGTTATAAAGGGTATAATTAGATACAGGATAGGGATAGACACGATGTGCAAATAGCTATGTGTGGGTGATTATCACCTTAAAGCCTGCTGGTGGCAGATGAGTCAGAGTTTAGAGACAGACCATGCACCCAAGTGCAAGATGTAATCACAATAATCAAATGGTATTTTCTGCTTTGTTCTCCATGTTTTTGTTTTTCTTTATAGCTAATTTCAAATTAACAGAACCGTGGTTTTTTTTTTTTAATGATAAAGAATGCAAGACAAAAGAAAGTAAAAAAAAAGAGAAAGACTGAATGGGCACTCGTTTATTTTACTGTTTTTTTAAGCTTGAAAGTTCCAGTAGGTATTTTTCTGGAACTAAAATAGCGTCAAGATGAGTGTAGCTTTATTATGAAATTTTAGTGTTGTAAATATACATCTTAAAAGGTTGTGAGAGCAAATACTAGTGGATTTTTTTTTCTTTTTGATAACAACACAGAGTGTTTTGGACATGATTTTGCCCCCTTGTGCTAACTGAGAAGTTCTCTCATTAAATTTACAGTCATGGAATCAAAGCCATTACAATGCCAAGCTCTGGACTAGAGTATATACACAACACCCACATATGTCAGTAGGATATAAACATGCATAACTAGGTTGTACATTACTTTTCTATTATTATTTGAGGTCAAGTTTTACAGAGAGCGCTGTACTGTTGAGAGACCATTAAGATGTTTATCTCCTTAGAACATTTAAATATTGTCTTCAGACTATGTATATTATTTAGCACATACTAGCCAAATGTTCTCATTTCAATTCAATTTCATCCAAATCTGACCTTTTAATAAATAATACTGTTAATCAGGCTCCTAGTCTAAGGCAATCGCCTTATTTAAATAACTGATTATAATATCAAGCCAGTAACAGTATTTGTTTTCCCTCGTTTACTTTAATACTTTGAAGCACTCAGAATTTTTCACTTTAACAGTTAGATTTTCCATTATATTAAAACATTACTGGGCTGAAAGGAAAAAAATTATAGCCTATGTGGCATAATGCACTCATTTGAACACTGGGTCTGAAAGAAATTTAGCATTCCAAATAAAAGACCTTGTGAGTAGTTTGTTTACCTGGTAGGATTCATAACAAAGGCAGTTTTCTTCTGTATAACTAGGATTTCACCTTGAAATTCAGTAAGCAGAATGCCTGCGCTGAGCCCAGGGCTGAGCAGAAACCGTCTCTTTGCAGAGTGGTTTCTCGTGCAGGGTCAGAAACTACCAATGCTGCTCCAGGGAGCACTGCCAGGTTGTTGGGGCGGGATTTGGGGGAGCCCTTCTTTCAGCTTTTACTTTGCCAGATCCACCAATTTTAACAGATAAGAAGAGCCATTCTCACCAGTCTAGTAGACGTGCCCACTTACAGTTTTGTTTCTCATTCTTCATCCCAGTTTACCTTCATCATCTTGGGTTAATTAAAAACAGTTTATCAGTCAATTGTCTTTTCAGTGTTTTTTTCTTGTGTTATTTGCTGTAATATATAGGAAATTACTTAGTTCACAGTTATCTTTGTTTTAACCATTAATAAACAATCAAGTGACAGGACACTACAGAAAATAAGTTACCAACATTTCAATATGTACCATGGTACCCGTGCAAAACACATTGTGTTTGCAATATGCAAGTTTAGTTACAGTTACTCAGGGAAGATTATAGGGAGCAGACACGATCCACAAAAATGTTTAAAAATCTAATCTTTATAGATTTAAAAATCTATAAAGCTTGGGGAGAAATGGCTAGGAAAAAATGTGCTTCTATATTTTACCCTCTCTGTTTTTTCTTTCTGTCCCTCAGATGTGTAATCAGTTTGTTTCATAGAGTACGAGGGAAGGATGAGGTTTCCAAATCAGCATTCTGATTTTAAAAAAAAAAAATCTTGATTTACTGTTCTTCATCAGTTGTGAACTACTGTACAATAATTCCAGTCGACCAGCCAATTTCAGCATCTTCGTAGGAAAAAGTAGAATCAATCAAAATAAAAAGGAACAAGCTCTGCAAACTATCAACAGAACAATTTACCTT